ACTGGCCGCCTGCTTTTACTAAGCCAGGCAATCCGATCAAACATATAATACATAGACTAAAATGGAAAAAAAAAAAAAAAAAAAAAAAAAAAAAAAAAAAAAAAAACAGTGAGGTCAAAAAAATAGGGAGCGAGAGGCAACTGCACCTTCACACATTAAGTCTGAACCTCGAATGAAGGGAAAGCAGAGACTTAGACAGATTGATATTAACGGAGCTATTGCAGGCACAATGTTGCCGGTTCCTTAAATAAAGCCCATGGGCCCAAAGGCCTGCCAGATGCCTTTGGCCTTTTTCCTTTTGGTACCCCTCTCACTTTTCCTTTCTTTGTTTTCTCTTCCGAGACGTTTTCCATTTCCAGTATTCATTATGTCATGTGCCTTTGGGCTTTATTTAAGGAACCGGCAATGCTGCACCTGCAATAGCTCGGTAATATCAATCTGTCTAAGTCTGCTTTCCCTTTATTCGAGGTTCAGACTTGGTGCGTGAAGGTGCAGTTGCCCCTCGCTCCCTATTTTTTGACTTTGCTGATTTTTTTGCATTTTAGTCTATGTGGTTTATGTTTGATCAGATAACCTGGCTTAGTAAAAGTATGCGGCCAGTGTAACTCTGATTCAAAATCCGGTTACGACCACGTGCAGTGCTGATAACGGCCACGTGTTTCTGAGACTCTTTTGCCAATGCTTTATTTTTCTTCTTTTCCCCCCTTCTAGTAATTTCTTTCTCCTGATGAGGAGGGACCTTTAGCTGCCCTCGAAATTGATTAAGTGTTTTAATATATATACACTAAATACAAGGTTGTTACTGCAATTTTGAAATACCAAGATGTTTATCAATATCAACTTTTATCTAATTATTAAATAAATTTGTTTTACATTTAAAATAATCTCTGCAAAATTAGATGACAAATGTAATAAAATAACTAACCATATTTATATCATATCATAACAAAATAAAAATACTGATTAAATAGCATTTTCTCATACATGATAAAACATTTTCTTTAACCTACCATGACACTATTTACAAATATTTCAGATAAACTGACTATTTAGTGAACATGTAATAAATAAATAATAATAGAAATTTTTATTTTATTACCTTGCCTTGTTTGCCGTTTTTTGTAAAATAAAAATCTCTATTTTAATACTTTTTTTTTTTTTTTTTTTTTTTTTTGTAGGTCTACTAAGCTTTAATGTTGATCTGTCATAAATTGCAAACAAGTTCATGTCAATAATATCTATCAATCCCATTTAAGTGAACTATCTAGATCAAGAAGAACTAGAAAAATATGAGCTGGCAATGTGTTTTAGTACTTCATATGTTTATTCCATGAGCTTGCTGTTAGCAACATAACCTTATTCTTTTACCTTCTTCCTTTAAATAAAGTTTGTCATTTTGTGGCCACAAAAATGAAAATGACAAAGGTGTAAAACTTCACATTAAAAAGTTATCTTAAAAATGAATTATAGTTCACCAAAATGGATAAATTATAAATTTATTTTGGTGAATTCAAGAGCAATCTGCCAATACTGCAATGCCTTTCCCTACCATTCTTAGAAATATGGTTTCAGTTGCTCATGGATAATGATAGATTCGAATCCATCACATAATATAAATTCAGATTTAAAATATACAAGGTATGAAGATCAAGATATTCAGTTCTATAGCAATATAAAGTTTCTGTGCAGGGACATAAGGAATTAATGACTGTGTGCTTTCATGATGTAAATGGTTAGCATGACCAATTAGCAACCAGAAAACCTGTGGTTCAAATCCCAGCATAATTTTGTTAATTACTGTTTTAAAACATCTAATGGTTTTTATAATGACATCCAAAATAAAATAAGTGGATAAATTCATCACTGAAAACATAAGCAATAATTTGAATACTCCTTGCAGATGCTTGTGGAATAAATGACTGGCATGTCATCCTAGCAGCTGGAAGATCCATAGTTTAAATCCTAGCTAACACACATTTGATTTTTCATGTTTCTTTCTCCAAAAAATAAAATGGTCTCCGCAAGTTTATGAAAAGTTATTTTAAATGCAGTAACTTTAAACAATGAAATAGTTCTTTCCTTAATGTCATGCGTTAATTTGATTTTTCATGTTGTTTCTTTCTTTAAAAAAAAAAAAAAAAAAAAAAAGGTCTCCACAAGTTTTATTGTGAAATTCCTGTGTCCCATTTCTGCCTGAGGGAACTATGTTCAGCCTGCGGCCATTCCAATTACTTGCGCTAATACGCAATTCTGATAATTGATTGTGATAATTATATATATATTTTAAAAACTCTTATAATTACAAAATATCACAGACAAAGTAGTTAATTTTTGCAAGCGGTCTACAAACAGTTATACAATCAAGCAGTCTGTACAGCAACAAAATGCAGTCTTAAATTTACAATTTATACACAAAGGCAATATTTTGCTTATTCAACAAGGCACATGCATTGCTTATCCAACAAAAGCTAGATTACTAGTGAAAGATGAAAGCCACAGAAAGGAAAATTGTCATTTTTTACCTTGCAAACATAATTCGGTTATATATTATTTATGAATGTGAGAAAAACTATATAACATGTTTTATACATAGAAAACTACCATAACGGGATTAAAACTCATTTTTAAATTTCAAAAGCATGACAACTAGAATATGCTTCAAAGTTATAGTTGTGATTATAAATAAAAAAAGCAGGAATTCTTGTACAAAAATATAGTGTACCTTATAGTACACTTCATCTACATATATGTTACAAAATATGGTTTCATAGTATGTACTTTTAGAGCTATTACTAGATGAAATCATTAATGGTAATTGTTTTAAAATTCATACGTTTTACTTTTTGATAACTGAAAAGCTGCCATAAATTAAGCTTGGTTCATTATGCAAATACAGAAAACTAAATAAAGGAAAAACACTAAATTAATAAAGGCACTTCATAAGAAGACAACAATCACAGAAAAAACTGCTAGAGTTATTATATAAGAACTATTTTTTAGTGTACTGCAATCTAAAAAATTTTTTAACAAAATTGTCAGATATCTTTTAGTAGTTTTTTTTAATCCTTTCCTAAAGCTAATTTATCAGTAAACAATTTAAATTCCATATTCTTTACATCATATAAAAAATAATAATCTATTTGCACTTTTGATGATTGTTCGGTAAAACCATCGAAACTAGTCCTGTGAAAATTTGAAAATATAACGCTGATTTTTGTTGTTTGACTTCTACATTAACATTTGTTCAGCAGTTATTCTATCTTAATTAATAATAATGAATTTAAACATATACAAAATAAACATTATGTTATACCTATTACACACAAAATATCACGTAGAAATAATTATTAATACTTATTGCAATTACTAATACTCAAGAGTAATACACAAAATGATATCTGAAACAAAAACAGAGCTAAAACAAGTTAATTACCAAACCACAATTTAATAAGATAAAACTAAAAAGTCAGATATGTCGGCTGCCTATTCTAAGAATTGAAAAAAATTCTACCATGTCTAATTAAAAACAGAGAAGTGTATACATAAATCTTAATCGAAAATCTTAATAAATGAACAATGCAAAACAGTCCAAATACAACATAAATAATGAATTATTTAAACCCAAAGTATATATCTTTATGTTATTCCACAGAATTTATGTTAACAAGAGGAGAAGAATGTTTTGTAAATTTATAGTCAAAATGAATCACAACTGTGTTCTTCATTTGGCTAAAGTGGAAGAGACTTAAAATTTCCAATTATAATTTATACGTAGCATATTCAGAAACTAAGTACCGTTTCATTCTAGCGCCGTTGCAGTTCTGTGGTAGGCGTCCCGCACATGCGCACTAGTCTTTCTTGTTCACTGGCTTTCAATTGTCGCCATTTTGGTTGCTCTATGTTGTGTTTTCAGTTTGCTGTGCACATTCAAAATGTTTAAGACAATTAGTTCTCCCGCTGACTGTGAGATTCGAGCCGTGATTAAATTTTTGAACGCGAGGAATTTTAAACCGGCCGAAATTTATCTTCAAGTGACAGAAGTTTACGGTGAATACGCGATAAGTGATGGAATGGTGAGAAAGTGGGTAAGAATGTTTAATGCAGGTCGAACAAATGTCCATGCCGAGGCTCAGCCTTCTGTTGTCACCGATGATTTGGTAAGGAAAGTTGATGAAGCAATTCATGAGAACAGAACTCTTTCAGAGGCATTTCCACAAATTTCACGTACTGTTTTGTTCGAAATTGTGTCTGACCGCTTGAATTATCGCAAATTGTGTTCCCGATGGGTTCCAAAAATGCTCACTGATGTTCACAAAACAAAGCGACTTGGTAGTGCCCTGACATTTCTCACGCGGTACAGTGATGAGAGATAAAACTTTTTAAACCAAATTGTGACAGGTGATGAAACTTGGGTGTGTCATTTCACACCAGAATCGAAACAACAATCGATGGAGTGGAGACACACTCATTCTCCGAAAAAACAAAAGTTCAAAGTGACAATGTCATCACAAAAAATCATGTGCACTGTCTTCTGGGATAGGAAAGGCGTTTTGCTTACTGAATTTCTTCCCAGAGGTGAAACCATTAATGCGGCACGATATTGTGAAACTTTAACAAAACTAAGGCGTGCCATTCAAAACAAACGAAGAAGAATGCTCAGTAAAGGAATTGTGTTGCTCCATGATAATGCTCGGCCCCATACTGCTGGTGTCACTCAATCGTTAATTTGACAGTTTCATTGGGAGCAGTTCGATCACCCGCCGTACAGCCCGGACTCAGCGCCATCCAACTATCATTTGTGTTCCTGCACATGAAGCACGAGCTTGGTGGCAAGCGCTTTGGATCTGACGATGACACGAAAAATGCTGTGGAGGCGTGGTTATCGAAACTGGCGGGAAGTTTCTTTGACGATGGTATACAAAAACTGGTCACCCGCTATGACAATTGTTTGATGGAAACTATGTTGAAAAATAGTTTAAGACATGTATTTTCATGTAAAAATAAAATTGGATTAAAAAAAATTGTTTTACTATTTTTTTTTTCAAAACGGTACTTAGTTTCCGAATACGCCTTGTATGTATGTATGTATATATAAAACATTTTAAATAGTTTTAATGCTTTGCAATCTTTGATAACAATGTAAAAAAGTACTTAAAATTTCAATATTCTAATATAAAATGTAGCTTTACAATTAAAAAGCATAAAATATGTGATAAAATGTAATATAATAATAAAATGTCAGATCTATAAGTTTTTACAAGAATAGCATGGTTTGGAGTCAGCCACTTTAAAACTATAACTAACTGCTTTAAAGTCTCTATTTATTATGTAAAATTCCATCACAAAATGTCTTTAGCATATGCTCAAAAGTGAAAGAAAATATAATAATATGGCAATCAGTAAAATAAAGAAAGGAACATTTAGCACATTGAACCAATCAAATAATACATATACAGTAAAACACTATTAATACTTCTTCCAAAGGATCCTTTCTTTCTTAAAACTTTGCCAATGGTAAAGTATTGCAATACACATCTCAGTCACTTAATATAAAGTAATAATTAGCAAATGATAAATGGTGAGCAGTTCTAAAAATAATGAGATCTTTTAGGAAAAAATAGAAAATTAATAGTCAAAAACATTCAATTTTCCAAACTCAGCATTGGTGTAAAAATTAGTGAATTAGATTAAAAGAAAATGGGAAGCACAATAATTTTGTGCTTTATAAATGATTAAGTATAACATCAAATGAAAAACTGATAACAGTAGAATAAAATATACATAAAAGAAATAAAACAAAACAATAAATTTACAAAAAAGTAAAGATTCATATTACAAACTCTGAAATAACTGTAATAAGGTATGGCTCCAACACTTTCAGCACCTCAGGAGATCAGTACAATTGGCTCCCAGTATAAATTAAATATATTTGATAATTCAAAGCAAAATATACCTTTATTTAATTGTCAGTAGAGAATAACTTAGCTAGAATCCTCCAAAAATCAACAAACTAAGTGAATGCCTGTGGCATCTATGCTTAGAGTTGGCCCTGATTGTAATTAATAACATATAATATACATATCAAATGTTACAAAATGACTAGTGATGTCATGAAATGTTTTAATATCCTAAACCATTAAAACTATAGCATTTATTAATCAAATGTACAAAAAATATATACCTCTAAACATAAAATCTTTATGCAAATCTTTTCAATAAGTTAATACTGAAAATAAAATCTGCTATACATCTTCTAAAATATACAAATATGATTTCTTTATCTTGATTATATTTTAAAATTGCAAACAAAAAAGGTCTTCTAATAATTTAGGCATTTAATATATAAATACTGTATTTACTCATATATTTTCCCCTTTAGCTAAATAACAGGCTTCTAAATTTTTTGAAGTTTTCATACAATTTTCCTTCTTCTCAAGGCCTTCAGAAAGCAAGCTTCTCTGAATGTTAAAATGAATTCGTCCCCATAATTATTTTTATTTTACTAATTAATTTACTCATGACATTTTAGATTCATGTGCTCTGATTAAGCAAATATAGTGAACACGTTCACAAAAATGGAGATATCTAATATTTTGGATTGTTTTGAAGATCACTGCAAATAAGAAGACTAAACAATGACAACAATGGCATCTTTTAAACTGTAGCAAATGACAGAGACAGCAGTTTTAACAGCATTAAATAATTTCAGGCTTAGGGAACAGCAATGTATAATAATAAAAGTGATCACGATACAAGAAGTATAAGATACTTTATTAGATACTGTAATGCTAATAATACTACGTACTTTTATTGGAATGTAGGTTTCTTTCAAAAATAATACTGTGATAATTACCAATATTTTACCCATGAACACTTTTCACTTGTTATCTTTTTACTGTAATTACATCCTTTTAAAATTAAATTATTCACATAATTTTCCCTTCTTGATTTTTTGAACAACAGAATTCGTAAAAAAAAAAAAAAAAAAAAAAAAAAAAAAAAAAAAAGGTGAATACATGAGTAAATACAGCAATCATTGTGTTGCATATAATAGTTCAAACTGCTACACAACTTTAAAACTAATTATTTCAAGAATAAATTTAAATAACATTTTGCAAACTTGTACATTTTACAAAGTATTCAACTATTAAAAAAGTATTATACTGAAAGTTAAAAATGTTCCAGTCATAAACTAAATTTGTCCAAAACAGTTCTGATTTATAAAAAAATGCATATATTTTACTCTCTGTCACAGCATTTATTTGCTTCATGGTAATATGCATTCATATGATACAGAAATGCAGTCATAAGTCAAATAAGATTATGCGTAGACACATTTTTGTTTTGTTTTTCATCCTACTGACATTTTGTAACCATCATCTTTATGTATACTTAAAAATTAACATATCACTCTTCTATTTTTATAAAATAAGCCACTTTATCTAAAGGAACTGTATAATTATATATCCATTTACTTCCTAGTCTACTAGTTCCAAATAATTCATCTCTCCAGCGGCCAGGAGGAAGATAAACATCTCTAGAGCGCTTACCTTCTTCAAGCACTGGAGCAACAATTAAGTCATTTCCAACTGCAAACTGGGAATCAATTATTTGAGCATTAGGATCTTTGGGAGCCAGCCACCATAGTGGCCTAACAATGGGAGCTCCAGTTTCATAATAATCATTTATGACACGTTTCATATATTCATTTGATTGAATCCTTTCTGTACGTACTTTAAACATGAATTTTGCAGCTTTTATAACATCTAAATCATAGTCACCAGGTGGTACAGATAATTGCACAACGGGCATAAAGGCAGCCAACTGAAGCCAGCGTATGTAGAGCTCTTTATCTGGCATTGTAACATTCGGAGAAGGAAAGATGTCCCCACCTACTGAGCCAGGATTCACCAATGGATATCCAAGCAGTCCTAATGTTAAGACAGCTGGTATTATAGATTTCAAGCCAGTTGAAGCATCCCATGTTGAAGTACGAGGTGCTAAACGTACAAATGCTGAGATATGTTGAGATTGAAATCCAACAGATACCCCAAGATAGGTACTTGTTTGAGAAGCTAATCTAAGATATAATGACAGAAAGTTATCAGGATTTACAGTCATTGTATAAAAATAATAATATGGTGGCAAAAATGAAGACTGACCACCAACAAATAAGAATCCATCAATGCCGTGATTTGTTTTTACATCTATGATGCGATCATAAAACCACTGCTCTGAAGAATTGCGAGTAACATCTACTATAGCACACACCTCTTTATTCCATCTAGTTAACAGAGGCACCTGGCGCTTCTCATCAGATACTAAATACCGCTTTTCAGTAGCATTTGTGAAAATTGAAGCTCCTAAACATATGTATGGATGCACTGCTAATAGAACTTTAAATCCTTTGTTGTGTAATATGCTTAAAATTTCAGATGGAACAGGAAACAAATGTGGATTGAAATTCAGATCCCCTTCTACTTCCTGCCATTTCGTATCTATCAACAGAAAACCGGCAGAAAATCCATGTTCCATAATGTGGTTTGAATAAGTCAGAAGAGAATCCTGGTTCAGAGTACCTTCCAGCTTAGGTGCAGTAGCCCAGATAGGAACTTCTAAGAATTCCATAGATATATTTGCAGTTTTAAAATACTTTTTCCACATCCCTTTGTGCACTTGTTTCATATCTGAACCAGTGCAAATGGTATAATCTAAATGTAAGTCTGATCTATCATTGTAATATGGAAAACTATCATATTTTGCTTCAAAACATAAGTTGTTATTCTGACTACTGTTTAAACTTACATATAAAGGTATATCTGCAGAAACCATAATAGCTACGCCTTCTGAAGAAAGCCAATATCTCTCTAAAATAGCACCATAATCATCACGATTTAAATCACCAGTTACAAATGGTTGCGATCTTTCAGATATGCCAGATAAGGGCCAAGATATGTTTCTTACTTCACCCATACCATACCAATGGGCATTTTTTAGACTTATGCAATCTTTCAGTGTGGTAGTTGGAGCAAGGTTTTCCCAATGCACTTGATAGCAACTCATAACTTCAGTGTGGCTGTAATTAATATGCAGCCTTGCTCGATATTTCCATTCTTGACATATGTTTGGACCTTTTGCTGGGTATAGTAACTCACAATCAAATGACTTTAGCTCAGGAGGAATGTGCATTCCTACAGCAACTTTTAAAATTTCTTGACCATCTGCTTTTAAAAGATGTATGATTCGCAATGTTTCATGAAATCGTATTTTATCACCAAATGCTAACTGCATCATATGACGTTGATAGAGGTACCATGTGAAAGTTACTAAGCCAACAATGCTCCCAAAAAGAAAAATCAAAATAAGACGAAATCTGAATTCAGGTGTCTTACCTTTCTGCACAACAGCTGATACACGAGCTGCCTTTAAAATAAATAAATAAATAAAAATAAGTGGAAAATTGGAAATTTAAATTTAAAAAAATACAGTAAAACTACATGATTACAATAGTTTTCAGTAATACAAAACTTTTAATATATTCAGCAGACAAATATAAAAAATTATGAAATGTAATTAATTAGTTGATGAAAGATAACAAATTAATGTTTACTTTTCTCTTTAATTCTGATTTTGTTTTGCAATAAGTTGTATAAATTCATTAACAGAACTTTTTTGAATGATACTGAAATTGTTTTTCTCACATTTCTTTTCTCATATGCTGAAACCAAATGTTACTTGTAAACCAGTGATCCTAATATCTTTTTTCTAGAATGTGAACATTTATTCCTGTGGCTTTTAAGTCTTTTAATCATTCTGGCACATAATTACATAATTTAAGATTATTTAAAATTATGCTTTAGAAAAAATTGTAATTTGTCTTACAACTGTAGTCAGTATTTTATTTAAAATTCAGCAAAAAATGAGCTCTTTGACACTTAATTCCATTCCATATTTTAAAATATTTAATAAATTTTCTAATAAACTAAAACATGTTTAAAATATTATTTATTTTTATTATTTATTTTTTACTTTTACATACAGGTAAAAACTTGTCTGCTACTGAAAGTGACAGGTTAATTATTGAGCAAGCATGATATCATAATTACTTAGTTCAACAAGGTTGCGATACATGATAATTTTATTTAGTTGCAACTAAGTGTTATTATGCACTCAGTGGATGGAGAAGCACCAACTGAATAATATTTAATAATATGATACATAATACAAAATAGTGTGAACTTTACGAAGCTTTTATACATACCCCAGCTTGCAAATTTTGCCGAAGTTTTGTTGTAGCAGGAGCTTTAGTTGGACTATCTTGTTTTGACCATGTATTTGCATCTAAATCAAGTCTGAGTGTATTTCGAGGCTTTCTTCTAATTGATGGGGTTGTGTGTGGAGTTGCCTGAGGTAATTGTTCAGTGCTCTCAAGTGAAGCTGCAGTGTTGACATTAAAATTAGTATGAACTTGCTCAGGAGTCTGACTTCCACTTTCAAGAAACAACAGATCATCAGTGCTTGCATTAGTCCTGAGTTCCATTGATTCTACAAGATAACATAACAGCAGATTTTGAAAAAAAAACTAGTCACATAGAAATATATGCAACAAAAGATGGAAAAATATCCGCTGGAATTCGTAAACATGACAAAGTTTTCAATTAAAAAAGCATTATTAATAGGGATAAAAATAATCTTTCCCAATAAAAGAAAAATATATACAGCAGTTTCTTGTCTTTTAACACTGAGACCTTAGGCTTGTAATAGAAACAATAACAATATATATAATAATAATAATATAATAATAAATAAAAATTAAAAAAAAAGTAAAATACAACAGTCTTCTAATACTTATCTTTTAAACGTTAACATATTTCAAATATTACAATTTTGTACAACTATATTACTAAGCGCTTAAAAATCAATAAATTTAATAACAAGATAGTAAAGTTGAACAAGACAAAGCCACAAATTTTGTAATAAGACAAAAATTTTTTTGCATCTGCTAACTATGAAGAAGTAATGAAGTGTTGTTTGACTTCTGAATAAGTAATGAAAGGTTATCTGTCTTACAGGGCATGCTTTTACGGGTGGCTTTCTAAGCAAAACTGGCATGCATTCACTTTATATACTTAAACTGAAAAAATATATGTCATGAAGACTTCAAAAATTTCCTGCACAATGCGCTGTTTTTTGGCGTGATTGCGTGTTTTATGGCAACCTTGTTGACGTTGAAAAATCTTTCGCTGGAGCTCGTTGGTTCATGTCATGCTCTGTGTCTGAGAAAATATGGGAAAAAGATAAAATGGTGGAAGTTGTTGAATTGAAGTTCGGCAAATCATCTTTGTAGGTGTGGAAAGAGGGTCTGTTAGATTATTTTTGTGGCTGTGCATGATAGAAGTAGGGATTTGTGATTATTTGTGATTTTATTTATTTGTGAACCATAGTACAGTCAAAAGTCTTTAATCCGGACTCATCGGGACTTCGGCGATTCCGGATTATCGATTTTTCCGGATTATACATCATCAGTTTAAATCTGGTAAGATGGCATGCAGAAATTATAAAATTAAAAATAAGAATAATAAATTATAAAATTAAAAATAGAAATATTTAAGAGAATTTCAGATTTTGCAATGACAGATCTTAGTAGGTGTAAAGAAATAAATAAAAAAAGGCAATTTTTTAGAGCATTAATTCTACACTGTCATGAAATTTATTAATTGTTGCCTAAAATAGTATTACAAATAATGAACATAACATACAGCCAATTTGTGAAAGCCAATAATGATAAAAGAATTATTTATTATCAGAAAGAAAGTGCCTTCACATTTATTCTATTCAGTATAGTAAAATGTTGAGTTTCCCCCAAACCAAAGGTAAATGATATTTCTTAAATTCTTTTAAAGCTATGCAATGTTTCTAACACTGGACAAAAATTCAAATATTATTTTGCAATTTAAAAGATAAGTAAACATATCTACTAACAAATGAGTGAGTTAAAATGCTGCCTTAGTGTCTCATATAGTATTATTATTAATAAAAAGCAATAATTTAAATTGTAAACTAATAAACACTATTAAATTTAATTTGGATTTTTTTTTTTTAAAGCAAGCAACAGCTACAACAAAATATGTATTCATTTCAATATAAAATTATATTATCAGTTTAAAACTTTAATTAAAGGGGAATTTAATTTTTAAAATAACTAACAATGAAATAAATAATTACCTCCAGCATCACAATTTACAAACATGGCAAAATACAGTTTCTTTAATTTTATTTTTATCTAGAATGGGTTATTGTATTAGTGAATTTCTGGTACAATTCTCTTGCATATTATTTAAACCCTAAATACATTATTCATTAATTAAATGATTTAGAAAGTAACATGAAATAGCACAGTATAAATTATTTAAAGATCAAATAATAGGAATGTTACAAAAAAGAAAATTATTATAACACAGATGAATAACATGTAATTGATAAGTACTAATATAGAAAGCTAGGCTGTATTAAAACTAGAAGCTTATAGAAAGTTATTTAACTAGGTTCTGTAAATTAATCAGAGATCAAGCTTTCTTATCACTGACTGGATTCATGTACCAATTAATCTCTAATTTATGAACTTCGTTTTTCACAAACTATTGAAATTTAGAGTACTTTTTAAGCAATCCCAATCTTTCAATTTAAATTTAGAATTTTCCAAGATCCACTTTCTGGCTACATACAGCAGACTCATATTTTGCTGAATAGCCAACTTAGAAACAAGTGCACAGGTTCAAAAAGCTTATAGTTTTACTTTCATCCTTTTATATTATGAACTTGACTTTACAAACATTTCTAGTGGTCTACACAAGTTTGTAAACTGACAATCTTTCGTGTATATGCATGTATATGTAAACACACAGAGAGATGGATACATTAGTGTAAAAATTCATTAGATTTGCAAAAAAGTCCAAGGTACTTAAGTTCTTACAAAATTTTATGTTCCTAGTATTCCTGTAATCTAGTGAAAAGAAATGGAAGAAAATTTCTTTTCATAACATAGCGATAAAAAGTTCTTAAAATGCAGTTAATAAATGAATAAAACGGTATCTACCAAATTCTTTTAATTAATCCTTAATTGCAAACAAAAAATATACAAAATTTATAAAGGTACTTTACATGTGTGCATGTAAATATATTTAATTTCTACATTTAAGGTAAAGTACATAAGCCATATATATACAGAAATATAAATATCGGATTTACAACAAATACGTGTTCAAACAAAGCAATCCAATTTCATTCAAATACACTTTTAAACTATAAATATGTATGGCATCCTTTTGGGAAAACGACCTTGGCTTATTCACAGAAAACAAAGTTACAATTCCATACTATTTTACCTCTGTGCTCAGTCCAGTTTTGTTTATTTTCTACAACAGGTAATTCGAGATTCGTTTTTTCTTTCAATACCATTGAAGTAGATGGTAATGCAATAGTATCCATAACACGCTCTTTTTCAACACCATTAGACATTTTCGAAATATTTCAGTGACCAAAACTAGTATAAATTAAAACGAAATTTAAACGGAAAAAAATCTGGGAGAGGACTACACTGGAATCCGGTGACTATGTTTAGATTTCCCTACTTGATTTAAAACAAAATGTTATGACTATGCCAACTTATTTTTATATGAAAATTTAGTAATACTTTTTACGCTACTATCCTACGTTCCTTTTAGTGTTTGTTTACTACAATGACAAAGCGTTTGTGGCCATTTTTATATTACAAAGTACAAACTTTCAGAGACAGTAGGATTTCAAGAAAATATCGAGATTTCAAAAAATCTAGAAATTGAAATAGCTTAAAATGCAGTATCATATTTTTTTAAAAGAAAACTACACATAAGTGACATTTAAAAGTAATATGATTGACAACAGCTACTTAAAAGCAATATTTATGATTGCTCCTCAAAATACTTACTTCATGCAGCTTTATTTCCTTACGTTTTGCCTTTAAAATTTTTAGATGAGAGAATAAACTAAGTATTGGTGATAGGAACAATCTAAACCTTAGAACCTGTTTAATTGCTTTAGGGCATCAAAAGGGTTCCGCTCTTATTGGTGATTTAACCTTCAAATATTTAACGCCATTAAATGAATTCATATAAATATTATACATTGTAAAAATATATGAATTATTTTTATACTTTAAAGTATAATATATTTAATGTGAAATTGTGTATTTTAAAAATGTTTTTCATTTATAGATTGCTATCAAGGACCATCATATTTAAGTATTCAGTGTACCTATGGTGGCAACCAAATTGATGCAGTTCCTCTGACGTAAGTGAAGGTTGTTCTTTGGTTGATAGTTTGCGGCGTACTAAGAAATTAAGATGGCTGCAAATAATTATTTTGGTTTCACGACTGGAGGCACGCAGTATGGGTAAGTTAAGTTTATGTATTTTGCAAAATTATATTTAAGCATATATTCATATTGTGCAAAATATTCTTATTACTTCATTTCTTCGAATGCCATTTTTTCGTGCCGGCTTAAGATGGCGGCGTACCATATAAAGACACTCATTTCTGAAAAAGTTAACATCTGAATGAATGTTACGAATTTTTTCACGAATACAACAATGTATTTATCTTCTTATACCATTGATTTCCGTAATTTGTGAATAATAGCAATGGTTCTGGTGTATTTTGATTACGGAAACTTTTTTTTTTTTGTTCAGCGTATATTTTATTGTTTTAACTTGCCATATAATTTAGAATGCTGATCTTTATTAAATAAACAATGTACTTCTTTTTCCTCAATAAAAATTGTAGAATTTGATAAGTTATGCATGGTCTTAAATCATGTGTCTACATCTTGGTAATAAATACGTAGATTTCTCAAATTAAGGCATTGTATTTTCTTGGTTAGTTCATGCACTAATGCATCATGTGTTCGTGTGGTAGTGTATTATATTACTGTTTAATTTTTAATCCTGCGTTACATTCGTCTTTCCTTGTATTTATGTATAACAGCCTATTTTGTAAACCTCATGGCCAGTTCACGAAGTATCCTATTATTGCATACTAATTATCTAATCTTGGTAGATTGTGGTCAATGAAAACTTACTGTAGTTGAAAAGGAAATATGAATTTCAATCTCATCGAATTCTTCTAAAAGCATTCTTGAAAATGCAAAATGTGTCCTGATCGTAATAGGCTTAGCATTTTGACGTCTATGTCGTCATTTGTTATACCCCGTGAATATGAATAAAATTTGTCATGAAAGGACTGCATCTTAACTGGAATATTTAAGTGTAATATGAACTTATTACCCTTATTTTAAATCTGAATATGGTGAGAAATTAAAATTTTCTTACAGAGTATGGTATATATGTTTGCCCTGCGTAATTTTTGAAGTTATTTTTCTGAGTCAGTTAAAGTAAAAAATTTCATAGGAATTTAATGAAGTCTTTATTACACCTAAGCTTTGTTGTCTTATTCTAAGGAAATTTTGGGAACTACTCATATGCGCCCTCAGGTCCCCAAATGCGGCGACAAATTACACGCCGCCATATTACTACCTAGCAAAAACGTAAAGTTTCTAACCAAAAATATTCGACAAGAATCCATGTACACAGTGATATGTTTTAACTTATAAAAAATTAAAGAATTGCACAATCTATGTAGCGAAGGAATTTATGAACTGCGCTCATCTAGCTTAAATAAATGAACATAACAACAGTAAATTTGAAAGAATACCATATACACAGTTTTCTTGTTTAAACTTTAAAAAAATCTACGAATTGCACAATCTAGGCAGCGAAGGAATCTGCGAACTATGCACACCTCGCTTTAATATCTAAATTAACATAATAAGTTTCAAGAATACCGTGTACACAGCGTTCTGTTTGAACTTTAGAAAACATCTACGAATTGCACTATCGGTAAAAGTATAGTTAGTGTACCTCTTGGCGATTTTTGGCGGTACATAGATACAGATTTTGTGCAATTCTTTGACTCGTTATTTTGGCTTGAGAAGCGGATCGCCGCTACACAAAGCCAAAATAACAAGACAAACAATTGCACAAACTCGGTATCCATGTACAAATCGACTTATTTTCACTTTAAAAAAAAATCCCCGAATTGCATATTGTGCACTCCATGCACACGTTGACCTATTTTCACTTTAAAAAAAAATCTCCGAATTGCACAAGAATGGCATTGCGCACTCTTTTAACTTTATCCATGTACACGTCGACCTTTTTCGAACAACACACTTTGCACTGTCTTCTAGGCTCACGTTTCGCAGGAAGAATATGGGATATAAATTGTCGTTCAGTAAGATGGGCAGGGTTATCTATTGTAGGTGGTCTACTAACATTCTTTTGTCCAGAAGCTGCATCAGCATATATTTATGTAAAAGCTCTTCTATAACCTGGATTCAAAATTCTAAAAATGTATTACATTTCTCAACTACATATTTATAGAGCAAATATGAGTTCCAAAGTACCTTATCTAGTAAATGTAAAAATATCTTTTTATAATATTTTTTCTGACATTTTCGAATTGTTGGATGAAAGGATATTTCCTGATCACAGCTAGAGAATGTAGTCGGAAACAATCTTCGGCTTAAGTATATCTTCATTTTTTTATTTTTGAGGCTGACCATGGAAATATCATGAATACTGCTCATCAAACACACATCCTTCTTATCTTTCCGCCTTATAGCCAAAATCATACCATTTTGAAAAGCTATGATTTGACCTTTTTGTAATTTTCTTTTAGCAAATTCTGTAGGTAAATCTCGTCTGTTTATCCTTACTGTGCCATAAATATCTCTTTTTTTGGGCTATAAGTAAATCTGCAAGCTCGGGTGACATCTAATAGTTATCTACAGTCACACAATAATTTCCTAGAAAGCGATTCAATAGGTGCATGACGATTTTTGTAGAAAGTCCATAATTTTATACAATTGATGAAGACAGTACTATTTCCTATATAGATAATGAAGTCACAAATATCCCTGTTTCCTTCCGCCTCACAAAAGCATAAAAAATTCGATTCCAAATCATGCACGTTTGATAGGAATATATTGTTTCCAAGATAACCTTCCTTTATAAGGCATCAAGCTTTCATCAACTGATACATCACTTTCCGGTATGTAAAAATTATAAAATTTTTTCCGTAAATTTTCTGTCACATTACACAGCTTCCAAAGTTTTCGATTTGGAAAATCATCTTTTTTCAGCTTCATTATTGCAAAAATGTAAATATCAAAAAAGCAAAATAAATGTTCATTTCTTTGACAATTATATCCATTAGATTTGGATCCAGAAACATTTCTAAAATATCTAAAGGAGTGTAGTTTATGTTTGCAGGAAAAGTTGCACCTGGAGTACCTGTAAAAGAAAACCGCGAGGGCTCTGATCGGCCAGAAGCAGTTATTTCACCCAGTCTCTCGTATTTCCTATATCATCATCACTGCTATCCGTTGATTCACTGCTACTTTCGATGTCACTCTCCTCAGTTTCACCTGCGTCACTAGTAAGTATCGATGCCTTCAAAATCTTCTTCGGTTGAAGAATCTAAATCAGGGGTCGGCAACCTGTTTGACCTTAAGGGCGCAATACTAAATTTGAAAATCACCGAGGGCGCATATATTACAGACAATCAACAGGTATAAATAGGCATTAAAAAAACAGATTTTTTATAACTTTATTTTGTTGGTGTCATACATAATGATAAATATGATTCAGTCTGAAACTTGGGTGTCCATATTTTCAGCTAATTTCTTTTCTTATAATTGGGGATATATTTAGAGTTCCCGGTCCTTAAACAATTATCTAAATGTGAGTCATTAAGCTTTGTTTGGTATTTTGATTTCAAATATTTCATATTTGAGAACAAAGACACTCGCAATTGAATGTTGTTGCACAATATAAATAAATTTTTAGCGCACATTTCCTTAAAATAGGATACTTATTTTCATCGACTAAGCTCCAAAACATTTTATCATTATTGAATGGATTTATGAAAAATCTTAGAACGGGTTCTAATGCTGCAAAATCTTCAAATCTAGAAGAAAACTCTTCTATTAGCTTATCTATAATTTCTAAATATGATGTAGCAGTAAAATTTTCATTATTCAAATTTAAACTCTCAACAGTATATTTTATATTTGGGAAATGTGATAATGATTTTTTCAATAGATGATGGGATTTCAACAACACTAACTTGCATTTGAATGCATTTACTGCACTAATCATGTCAGCGATATGCTGATTTTCCCCTTGTATTTTTAAATTTAATTCATTCAACTTTGCCGTTATATCTGTCAGAAATCCGAGGTCGATTAGCCAATCCTTATTTTCTAATTGCTCGTAAAATTCGCCTCTTGATGCAATAAAATTCCTTTATTTGTGGCAAAAGCATGATAAACCGCTCAAGTATTTTACCTCTGCTCAGCCACCTCACTTCAGTATGTAAAAGAAGATCTGTGAACTGAACGTCCTCATCTTCTAAAAGTAATTTAAACAATCTGTGTTGCATAGCTCCCGATCTTATGGAATTAATAATTTTTGTTACTATCGTAAATACGTGTTGAAAACCGATTGTTTTTGCGCATAACATTTCCTGATGTATGAGGCAATGATAAGAAATAAATTTCGGGAATAAGGAATCCTGTCTACATAAGGCAATAAATCCTTTTTTCTTACCAGTCATCGCTGGTGCCCCGTCTGTTGTAATTGACGATAACTTTTGTACAGGTAATTTTACATCTGTTATATACTTTTTAAAAGTAGAAAAGATATCTTCTCCTCTGGTGCTTCCCTTTAATGGCAGAACTTTAAGGAATTCTTCTTTTGTTGTAAAATCAGAAAATACCATCTTCACGCAAATTGCTAATTGTGATATATTTGTCACGTCTGCCGATTCATCCATCTGTAGCGAAAAGAAAATACAATTTTCCATATCATTTGCTAATTCTGCCTCCAAATTCTCCGCAATTACTTCAATTCTTCTAGTAACAGTTCGTGCTGATAATTGCAACGTGTTTATAGCTGAAACTATTTCCTTTTTATTTTTAAATTCTTCAAAAAGTGAATCAGCAGCTTCTAACATGGCTTCTTTCACTAATTCTCCATCTGTAAATGGTTTTTTATTCTTAGCTAGCAAATGCGATATTTTATATGACGCGATCGTTGCTGCTTTATGTTGTTGCAGTGGTTTAGTAAAAAAACTTTGCTGGTTAGTTATTGAAGATTTTAAAGAAATAATTTTTTTTTCTTCTAATTTCAGAGTTCATTGGATAGTCACTATCAAAATTGGTATGAACGGTCTTAAAATGTCGTTCAATATTACTTTTTCTTGGGAATCGCAACACTATTATTACACAACAAACAAATACACTTCCCTTTGTAATCAACGAAACAATATAGATGTTCCCATTCATCGTTAAAATAATATGTTCTTTTTCTTTTACATTTATCCATAAGGGTTTTGAAAGAAAAGAATTATTTCGGATTACTTGGTAGTTTTAAATGCACGGTCTACGCGTGGTCTATTCGAAATACGATCACACACTAACAAAATAATGTGCGTGTTATTAGATACGCTCAAGGTTAGCAAACTGCTAATCTATGCACAATCCTAAACTCAACTGACTACTGTCTAACCACGCTAGCGAGAGCAGTTTTGGCTGAGGGCCAAGATGGGTCAGTTTAATTGAAGGGGGTGTGTGGGCGAAAAGCGCGGGTATTTTTTCCCTCTCGAAGGCGAAGGGTGTGGTGGGTGAAATCGAAGGTCAGGGGACATTTGGTGTCTACCGAGTTACTGCACTCATCCCTACATAACTGATAGATGTGCTCACTTTCGCCCCAAACCGGATGTTTACATAGATGTGGAATACGTGGTCAGACAGTACTTGCTGTATATCACCGTTTGACAAGAGGAAGTAAATCGCTCTGGCTACCATACATTTACATTAGTCCAGTGAGGGCGCATTAAAAATCGATCGGGGGCACCGCGTTGCCTATCCCTGATCTAAATCATCTTTATAACGTTTCAAAGAACTGGACGCCATTTTACAACAAAAAAAAAAAAAAAAACCACACATTTTAAACCAAAGAACTTCTAACCTTTGAAATCTTCAATAAAGTGCTGCCATCTATTGAATTGAGTGCACATTAACTTTCCCCGAGATACAGTCGGGTTTGACAAATAGATGAAGCCGAAATAAACGTTTTCCGATATATATTCGGGTACAATGCACTCAAAAAAAAAATAACCCCGAGTAATACTTGGGCGTGCTCGGGCATGACAGTTAAAAGGTTAACACGCTGTCACGTAATCTATCGTGTTTATATGACAGCACAAATGTTTCACACACAAAAGTGTTGACAGTTTCACAAATAAATGTTCAAAACCTTCTCCTCCTAAATACTTGTAGAATTTCCAGCTATCCGAAAAAAATAGTTGTACCAGGCATGCGACTAAAATTTTGCCAACACGTCATAAATCAATTACCACACGAACCAACTAGCAAATCCAAGTTTCCATGTAAAAAGGGTTGCCACAGAAGCCAATCATCGCTGTTCAGAATACACGATCATGCCAAAAACCAGTGAACAACACATATCGCCCTATTTGGCAACCGTAGCGCACATTATAAGAGTAGAGCCAAATTGTGTGACAATGTTTTTTTTTTTTTTTTTTTTTCTTTTTTTTTTCATTTTCTGATCATGCACATTATATAGTTTCAGTATTCTGTAGAACTGCTGCCATTTGGAATGTATTGGCTCTCGTGTAGAATTGGGTGCCCCTTCAATTAGAAACAAATTTTGTTAAAATTCATTTGTCATTTCTGGTTATGATAGTTTTAACTTTGTTTTATCTTAAAGGATTGATGTGTACATGGACAAAGTTAAGGCAGTATGCAATGCCTAGTTTGTGGAATTCTCTGATGATTTTTTAAGTGAAAATAGATCGATGTGTACATGGACACAGTTTTGTTTGTTCTTTGGCTTCTTATTTTGGTTTTGTTTAGTGGCCATCTTGAAATTGTGCCTTCCTGGTGCCGAACGTTTTGTCAAAAATGAATTGCCAAAAAGCAAGGGACAGCCAATTGTAAACCAAAATAAGAAGTTGAATTGCAAACTCAGTGTCCATTTACAAAAACTCGGCATTGCACACTGCCTTGACTTTAGCCATGTACACATTGATCTATTTTCACTTTAAAAAAAACAATTGGGAAGCTAAAACTATCATGGTAACCAGAAATGGGATTTCATCATCAAAATTAAACAAAATTTGTTGCCTATCGAAGGGAACCCAATACTACACTAGAGCCAATTTTTGTTACTATTCTGTTAGAGCGGCGTCGGGGAAAAATGAGAAAACATGCTTGAACAACACGCCAAATATTGCGTTTCAGCAATTGAAATATCACTTGTTATTTTTTGCCATTTTTTTTAATATGATGATTAGACAATTTTGCAATTACCTTATGACAAAGGAATAATTCATAGCAATAGACTTTGTTCTCAAAATCATCTGATGAATTTAACTTTTTGTATCTAATAAAGCTCTTATATAACATTGTTCCGTACGTTCTTGCTGTGACAAAAAAAAGGATATAAAGCCAGAACATGGTTTGAAGGCTCGCGTCTTTCTTTCCTCATTGCCATTCGCTTTACTATCTCTGGTGTCAAGAATTGACGTTGATTGAATTTTACCAACTTCCATTACAATAAATGCCAACAATAAATTAAAATAAATACTTTAAAGTAGTCTCCCCCCCCCCCGAAAAAAAGCTGGATATGTTCTTTCGAAGATGTGAGTATGCTGGGAAAGCAAAGAATATTTTCTGGTCGCCGTTCCCGATCATTGTGCTACAACATTGATGACAGTCATTCAGGAAAATCATCGCAGATGGCAGCATTATGTTTTCAAACTGATTGAAAGGATGTAAAAAAGAGGAATTAAGAAATGCTGGGTATGAACATTTCACTGTGAATCACAGTTATGATTTTGTAGACACCAAAACTGGGGAGGGGAATTCGCTGGCCGATATTTCAGCCACAGCCGTCTTTTTGAGACACTGCAGCTCTGGCCGATTCTTAGGCCACTCGTCTTTTAAAGGTTAAGAGGAAGTAGGAAGATAGAGTAAAACTTCATAGTTAGTCTGAAATTTTAAAGATGTATGCAGCTAAAGAAAATAGAATTCTTATGTTACATGATGTAGCCTAAAATCTTAACCTGCAAAATTTTGTGGGGTTTGAAAATAATTTCATTGCAAAATCATCTAAAAAATTTGGTACTCTTTTTTTATTGGTACGGGATTCAGAAATGTATATAAGTATGTATTCATACATACTTGTGTATATACATGATTACATATATACATACATTTCTAAATTCAGTCCCAATAACAGAGGAGTACCAAAAATTCATTGTGAGGGGAAGAACACTGCCTATATGTTTTCTTTTTGTGAATAAATTTTCATCAGATTTTGTAATTGTATTGCTTTTAACAAATTGGTGACTTTTGGGAGAGGGTTGTAGATAATCAAAAAGTGTTGTGTTCTTCATTAAGTGATGAGTGGGAAGATTCTTCTTTTTAATTCAAATGCTATGGTCTAAGGAGAGAAATCACTTTGTTTACAAGTGATATAAAAGATATTTAGATGTATTTCTTTTGATTTGAGGTATACTTTTTTCCCAGTATTAAATTTCATTAAAAACTGAATTGATAGAACCTTAAGAATTAGATTGTTTTAAAAATTTTCATAGTTTAAATAGAATGAGTTGTTAAATAAATTCATTATTAGTGTATTAGTTTTGCCAAATTAAATACAGTGGTACCTCAGTATATGTCATTAATGCAATCTAGATCCCTGGACATACACCATATGAACTTTTCCAGTAAGAAAAAAAGGGAAAATAATCAATCCGTTCATATTATTAAAAAAATCCTATCTTTATTATAATACTGTTTAACACTAAAATACTAATTTATGTATTAAATGTTTTTCTGCTATCCAGATGAAATGCGATTTTTTAATGTCCTGTAACCTCTCAGTTGAAAATTCAGTTATAGCACCAGTTTTTTTACTGCAAGTGTAGTGTGCGTAGTAGTTTCTCATTGAACTCGAGTAAGATCATATTCCAAAAACATGTCCATTTCCCAAACTAAAAATTTTGCATCCAAACAGGTCATATTTCAAAGTATACAGAGGTATCGTTGTATTAGTAATGTATTTTTTTTATTCAGTACAAATTAATTTTCTTATTTGTCTAGGAGTGCTACACCCTCTCCAGCGAATTATTCTACCAATCAAGCAACTGCTGGTTACACTGTGCAGCATTCAGCTCAACCTTATGCCGCGGCTGCTACTGCGCAGCGCTCCAGTCAGTCTGCGTATGAAAGTTATCAACAGCCAGCTCATACTACGACAAATTATCCATATGCCTCAAGGCAACAGGTAATTAAAATTTGCTTAATTTCTGTATTTTCACTAGGAACCTTACACGTTTTTCTTATGCAGTCAAAAGTCGTTAATTCAGACACCCATAATCCGGAATGATCTATAATCCGGACCTCAAAGCTACAAACTTTCTGCGCATGCGTAAGACCTTTACGGCTGCGAATATGCTTGTGCGCGTGCACAAATACTTTTATGAGTGCACGTTTAATGTATAACGGATGGTATAAGCTAAGCTAAAATTATCTAATTATCTATTTCAGTTAATGTTGCAGATTGCGTTGTTCCTTAATCTTCGAATTGGATCCGGCTTATTATTTTTTGCAGACTGTTAGAGCAATTTTATAAAAGTAAGCTTGAACTTTCGATTATGTCAAATAGAATTTCTGATATATATTTATTAATATGTAAAGGATCTATGAAGCGAAAGTATAGTTCGAAGTTCATTAAAAAGTGGAATTGCTGCAAAAAATGGATAAAGGCATATCCTTTGTTTATCTAATCTTTAACGTTTGTTTATCTAAAACTTTGTTTATCTTTAACACCGTGGCACGCAATGAATTGGAACTTGATCTGTCAGCACTATCCTTATCTTCAGGGCAGATTTTTTATTTGGCTTATAATTCCTTACTAAATGTAGTATTTCATCTCGATGTACTCCGTCTTTGATATGATTTAAATCAAATTCCTCGTCATTATAATTCGCTTCCGATAGCGAAGAAAGTGACAGAGGTTATTGAAAACGAAAAAATTTCAATTGACAAATTAGTCGGTAGACACAGCAATTATAGGACTTGAACAGCGAAACTTTGTAACTGAACAAGAATTATGTATGTTTATAGAATTAAAGAGAATGTATTATCACATAAAAAAACAAAGCAACTTTAATAACTTGCATTGAAGAAATGTTCGTAAAGTAAACAAATAAATATTAAGCCTTTTTTTTTTTTGTAAATTTTGATACCCCTTTAGATCATAATTGTTCTTTATTTTATAAATTTACGGTTTTCATATTTTAATTTTTATAATTCTGCATGCAATCTTACCAGATTTAAACTGATGATCTATAATCCGGAATCGCCAAAGTCCCGACGAGTCCGGATTAACGACTTTTGACTATATATCTAAAACTTGCCTAGTGTTAAAAATTGGTTGGAGGGTGTTTGGTCTATGAAGGTTTAGTGCTATATTAGCATTTTTTGGTTGGATATACAATGCGGAAATCGTTCCGTCCAATGAATCATCATTTTAAAATATGGATAGTGAAATTTGTTTTGTATTATATTTGAAGAAATTAAATAATGAAAAATGTGCATAAATGTATGTATATTTCTCGCTCTCGTGTTGTGATAGAATGGGTCGGCAACCTTTTTTGGTCGCGGGTCAAAATAACCAAAATGCAAGTATTAAAGAGAGGTTTGGGTCAGAGATATTTTCGTATTAAAACAGCATTTTAGTAAATAATAAGATATATTTTATTAAGAAAATAATTACAAACATAATTGAATAAACTTTATTTATAAGCTTTTTTTACGATATCAATGGCTCCCCTGATGTTGAACTTGTGACGTCAATTTAGTCAAGTCTGGCTTATAGTTAGTTGAACACAAGCATCTGAATTTTCAGTAGTTAATCTGCTCTTGTTTTTGCGTAAAATAAATTTCATTTATGAAAATATTTGCTCAAATTTTTAAGTGGACCCGAATGTGGACAAAATGGCAAAGGCAATTTTTGTTAATGATGAAAACCTCGTAGGAAGTGATGCCCAACATGTTGATATCATAAGAAAATGATTATCTTCTGTATTTTCCAAATCGTTCCGCAATTTCTTGAATTTATCCGTCCATAATGTTGAACTTTTAAAATCAATTATTTCTAAACTAAAATTGTCAATTCTTAGATATTCAAAATACTGTAAATTTATAATATTTTCTTCTATTTCATCGGGCTTTATTGTAAATGTAAACATTTTTCCATGTTTCTTAAGACTTTGAAACCGACTTTCATATTCACTTTTAATGACCGAAATCCAAGTTTCGAACATATTTAGATTGCATTCATCGATATTTTCTTTTCCATGTTCCCTTTTAACAAGGAAAAGAAATGAAATTTTTTAGTTTTTATGTCAGTTTCAAATAATATCAAATTTGGAGTAAAACTCTTCCATTCCTCATACATTTTCAAAATTGTGTGGTTATTTCCTTCGAGTCGTACGTTGAAATCATTATAATGGTTCATTATGTCTGTTAAGAACAAAAGTCTTAAAAACCATTGTTTATCATTGAGTTCGAGATAATTTTCACCGATTTCGTGAAGAAATATTTGTATATCTCAAAACACTCTACAAATCTATTAAGAACTTTGCCCCGACTTAACCATCGTATTTCAGAATGTAATAACAAATCTCCATATTTCGATTCAATTTCCTCCAAAAAAGCTTTAAAGCGCCTGTGTATTAATGCTGATGCTGATCACGCTATTATCATGTTTACGATCTTAACAACTTTTTCTATTACATCTTTAAGTTGTGTAGATGCCTTTGCAAATAAATTTTCTTCATGTATGATACAACGAAATGATAAAAGTGAACGGCCAAGTTCATTTTCCATTAGTTTTACAAATCCAACAATTTTTCCTCTCATACTTGGAGCACTGTCAGTTGTTATCAAAAATAGTTTTTTTTAAATCCAATACTTGCCCATTTTTTAAATTTGTGAACTCTTGTGCTTGACGAAAAATATCAGTGCCTTTGGTGGTGTCACTCATTGAAGCAAGAACGCTGACATTCGAGCTATTTATTGATGCAAATCTAATAATTATTGCAAGCCTACCAACACTATGTCGGTACTTTCGTCAACTGCAATGCTAATTATGTCACAAGATAACAAATCATTTTTGACCTGCTCATTAATATTCCTGGCCATATCGTCAACGTGACGTTGAACTGTTCTAGCTGACAATAGCATTTCTTTGATTCTCTCAATTATTTGTTTTTATTTGCAAAGTCATTAAATAAGTGTTCGGAACAATTTATGAATGCGTTTTTCAAAAACTCACCGTCTGTAAATGGTTTTCCGCTGGTACCAATGCTAAGAGCTGCAACAAAGCTGGCAGACGTAGCGGGATTGTTGCTGGTAACAAAACTCTTTAAGAATTTATTTTGTTTTCCAAAATTTAATACACATTTAGCAATGTATTCAGATTTATCTTCATTTGCCATTTCACTCACATCTTTATGTTTTGAAGAAAAGTGTCGCTCAATATTATAAGTCCTGGCGGCAATTATATCTGTACATAAAGTACATATCAGTTTGTCACCATTTTTGATACACCCATACTTTTCTGTCCACTCATCTTGAAATAATCTCTTTTTTGCTTTTTGTTTGCTCATGGTAATTTTTTTAAATAATAATATTTATTTCTCTAGGTCAATATTATTGTGCTAATGTACTACACCTGAGATAACGACGTGCGCATCCAGGAATGGTACAATTTGTTCAATGTCGCTGCATTCTGCATACTATCGGCCGATTCCATATCCAGTCAGGCGGGGGTGGGGCTCTTAACTGATATTTTTATGTTATACTGGATTCAAATTTGGTACGTTAATAACTTTGCAACAAAAATTTTTTGGGAAAAAGAAAAAAAATGATTGTATATCTTATACTTTATTTTCGGAACTAAAGTGGGTCACTTGAAATTACCAAATGGATCACTCGGTGACCCACGAGTCATAGGTTGCCGACCTCTGTGATAGAACAACGGTATCTAGAGCCATCCAATTTTGAATGACATAATCCTACTGTGAATATGGCATCTGAAATCACGAATTTGGAATTTGTTTTATTATCGATTTCATATTTTGTAAAACTTTAATGAACTTTTGAGTAACAAACTCAACGATTTCAAAGCAAGCAATGACAACACTCTACGGGGGGGGGGGGGGGTTATTATCTCCAGCTCGTCGAACTGTGTGTCCGAAATTCTAAAAATATCCTCATTTTAAAATTATTTTGCGACATTGCTATTGAACTAAATTTTATGGTTTAAGTGTGAATAACATGATATTTAATAAATAAAGGTAACACACAAAATGTTAAAAAAACATTCCTTTGGATGTAATTTAAACTTTTCAGTCCCCCCGATGCATTTTACAGTATGGAAGTTGGGGAGGGAAATGCCCTCTCCTTTTTCCGCAAAATCTCGAATATTGAAAGTGTTACAGTTCGTAGCAAAGCAAGCAACGTACTTTTTTTTGTCACTGTCCAATCTGAATAAAAGTTCTGTGGTCTACCAACCAAAGCAAAGGATGATTCTATTCCGGAAATTTAACACGTTCTGTTCAAAAAATTAGAACGACAAACCCCCTAGATTGGGAAGTCTCTTTCTTTTCCTTTATTTAGTTATTCTCCGGTGCGGCAGGATTAAAAGGCACATAATGTGCAATAGACGTTGCGATATTTTGCAGAGGTAAAAGAGTTTTACTGTGCTTGCTAAGGAATTTATTTTTCAGTTCCATTGGGCTATTTTTATGTGTCAAACATACATTATTTAGCTGTCAAAAGCAAAATGCATTATTTAGTTTTTGAAATGTCAAAAGCTTTATTTAGCTGAAAAATCTAAAGATTGGCTACAATTTAGCCGCCTCTTTTTCCAGTTAAGCTCGACTATCCGGAATTTTCAAATATTCGGCAATTTCTGAGTATGCCGATCAATCAAGCTTTGAAGGGCTGTTCCCACTGGGGTTTATCTGAGCTAACGAAGTCAATTCCCTGTGTCTACTATACTTTGCGACAAGCTAACCTTTGAACACATACAAGGCTGGAACGAACCTTTTTAGCAGCTTTTCACCCTGTCCTTCAAGTTATCCATACGCAGTAAACTGGCCGCAGATATTCAATTCCTCAAATTTGCTACACATTTGGCGAATTCTTGTCAAATCCAGCATATTTAAAATAACAATATTTTTATGCAGTGAAGCTGCAGTTGAAATTGATAGT